GGCTCCACCTTCTCCAAAGGAGACATTGGAGAAGAGTCCTCCCAAATAAGGCCTAAAAGGATGGACATATACTTCCTCTGTCCCAAAAAGAGTGTCGCTATGAGATTTATGTTGGTTAAATTTTGTTAAGTTCGATTAGATTTGTAGAAAATATTGATAATATTTGTATCTCTAAATAAGTTTATTATAAAAAATATATTTAGTGATTTATCTAATAATACTAATTATGCAACCATAAATATTAATGTTTTCTTATATATTTGAATAAAGTTAAAAAATAGATGATTTCTAAAGAAGTGAGAATAACACTATTTATGGGGACAGAGGGTCTATATGGCAAACTAACTAGTTGACATGATGCTGAGGAGGATAATGATGGTAGTTAAGGGCTTGTTTGGAACATAGGAATTCCACAGAAATTGCGCAAGTAGAAGAATCAATTCAATTTCATAAAAAAACGCTTGAACATGAAAAAAAAAATCGCCCGTTCGGACCTAACTACAGGAAGAACCCGGATTTCATCATCCGCCCCTTCCGTACCACCACATCATCTTTTGGTCTATGTGAGTTGTCGCTTCTTCCATCACGGAAAACGAAAAAAGATGAACATTTGCAATGATAATGACGATAATGTGAATCAGGGGAGGATAACCATGGGAGCTAGCCAAGGAAGGAAAGGATACACATGATTGCTTTTCGTGCCATGCTATTGATTACACACAACACGATATTTCTTGGTAGGGGGAAAACAACTAGTGGCATTCGATGTGCACAATGAGATATTTGAGTATCCGTAATTAATTATATGTAATAATCATAAAAGATGAGAGAGTTTTGTCATAAAACATGAAAAATGGTATTTTCTACATAAGAGAAGCATCACCAAATCTACACAAACACAATACATAGGGCCTGTTTGCATGCACATATATCCACCTCAATACAAGACATCACCCATAGGTAATCTATGACGGTGTAATTAAATTGAATCCTCATGTGATTATACTTCCGGTCACAAAATAATTCGTCATGAACATCTCCTTATATTACATACTCCATCCATTCCAAATTATAAATACACTTTTATTTTTTTAGATACATAATTTTTGTCATGCACTTAGATATACATTATACTTAAATATATAGTAAAAACAATGTACGTAGAAAACCAAAACATATAATATCGCTTCTATGATTTTTTTTATTCCTCACTCACTATAAGGATTTCGTTCAAAGAGCCTGTCCGCTTGTTGGTTTTAGCCAGGGCTTATCAGCCAGCCAACAGTATTTTTCTCTCACAACAAACCAGTATCAGCAGGACTTATCAGCCCAAAAACCAACCAGCGAACAGGCCGAAAAACACACAAATTTCTCGGTGCGAAGTTTATAGAATGGTAGCTAAGCAAATGTCTCACAAGTCACAACCATAACTAACCGTGCACATTTGTGGAGCAAATGGCTCTACGGCACACAATCCATTCCCACACGATCACTGCACTGTATGTTTGGAGAGCGACAATTCCCCTAGCCCTGGGTCCTCTTCGCTTCGCTGAAAAACCATGGCTGAAAGTATTATTCACTAATTTATTGTAAAAAATATTGTTCATTCGTTGAAATAGTATGGCTCATAAGAGAAACGAACATGACAATGTTCAAATCTTAGAGGGTGCAGTTCCATAAAAAAATAAGAGAGAATTCATTATTTGACACCGGGAAAATGAGTCGTTCCTTTCTTGGTCCTGAAATTTTCTTCGTTCCCTATTTGACACTCACTTCAACTTTCATCCCTAATTTGACACTACCATCAAATCCGTTAGCTAACGGTGTTAATTGGCTGTTAAAAAGATGTTTTTGTCCGTAGAAAAAAAAGCGGCGAAGCAAATTTGAGAGGAAAAAAAACCTGCGCCCGCCTCTGATGTATGCGCCCAGCTGCAAAAAAAAGCGTCCTCTCAAATTTGCTTCGCCGCTTTTTTGTCTAGAGGCAAAAACGTCTTTTTAACAGCTAATTAACACCGTTAGCTAACGAATTTGACGGTAGTGTTAAATTAAGATTGAAAGTTAAAGTAAATGTTAAATAGGGAACAAAGAAAATTTCAGAGTAAAAAAAAACGACTCATTTTTCCGGTCTCGAAAAAACAACCCAATATCCGACCGGGTCCACACAACTCGATCAGCTCCCAGCCTCTCCCCACGTTCGAGCGGCCGACACCAACAGCTGGACCCCACCGCCTCCTACACCCGCCGCTCCACGCACCGACCGAGCCCATCCTAGCCGTCCGTTCCGTTCCGTTGCCTCCGTCCCGCGCTTCCCCGCTCCCGCACGGAACGCATCACGAGACCACCACCACCGCCCTGCCCACCGGCTGCTCCCTTCCCTTCCCGTGCACGAGGCACCGCGCCGACGAGCCACCTGCGATCCGAGCCGTCCGCGGGATCAACGGTCAGCACGCACGCACGAATCTCGCGGGGGTGTTCGCCTCTTCCGCCTTGTTGCCCTCCCTCCTTCGTCCACGGCGACACACCACGCGTCGCCGACCACCACGCCACCGCCACCGCCACCGCCACCGCCACCGCCACCGAATCGTCGCTTCCCATAGACCATCGAGGCGCCGCCGCCCTGACCCTCGGCGCATTCTCTCTCGGTGCCGACTGCCGAGATCTCCCCGGCCTTCTCCCGAGAGAAATGCCCGCGCTTGATCCGACGTCCGCGATGGCGGTGGCGGCGCTGCCGCAGGCGATGGACGCGCTGTCGCGGCGGGCGACCATGCTGCGGGACTCGCTGCGGCGGAGCCAGGGGAACACGGACGGCATGGTCGCCATCCTCGGCTCCTTCGACCACCGCCTCTCCGCGCTCGAGGCCGCCATGCGCCCCACCCAGGTTCGCCGCCGTCTCCTCCCCCGCCATTTCGAACGCGTCGCGCCTTCGTTTCGTTGGATGGAATGAAATTTGAGGCGGGGATGGCGGTGTCCCTCTGTGCTTGGTGGTGGGATTGCAGGTGAGGACGCACGCGATCCGGACGGCGCACGAGAACATCGACCGGACCATCAAGGCCGCCGACGGCATCCTCTCCCAGTTCGACCTCGCCCGCCGGGTGCGTTCGTTCATCCTCTCTCAGAAGTCAGAACGCTAGTCCTTTAGCTGAAATCGGGGTGAATTGCATATGTTTTCTTGTGGCCATTGTGTGGATCTGAGGGCAATTGAATGTGCAAACGGGCAGGTGCTTTGTGCTGTAATAAGGGACGGAGCTAATTAGTCTTGGTTAACACGATTAAGCTGTATGTGCGGTTAATTAAGCTCAATGCAGGAATCATTGATACAGAATGACTGTTCTCGAATGGAAGCATATTACTCCTGTTTATTTAAGGTTATGTTATTTAGGGTAATCTGGTCAGTGATAATTTTACCATTTATGAGATTAAAGATTGAGTTACCATAATGAGTTACCATAATTATAATGTTTCTTTTGAATGGGATGCAGTTTTTGTAAAAAATCATCTTGAACTGTAAAATTGATGGCTAACTGAACTCCTTGCATTGAAAGTATAGTAATCCTGCAAGTTAATGCTGTTGGCTTCTGGTCAGGCTTCGAGTTCAAATGTTGCTATTCTCGCATCTTCCCTTAGTTTGTGTGGTTTTTTTCTTTCGTGCTTTAGGCTGAGGCAACCATATTGAGGGGTCCCCATGAGGATTTGGAGAGCTACCTGGAGGCAGTGGATGTGCTGAAAGGCATCGTTCGCTTCTTTTCCTCGAATAAGAACTTCAAGAGCAGTGAAGGAGTTCTGAATCATGTCAACAATCTGTTAGCTAAGTCTACTCTGAAGATTGAAGAGGAATTTAAGCAGCTGATGGGTACATACAGGTAAGGCCGTTAACTTATGGCTGGTGCATCTAGTGATGCAGAGGCCCACTCATGAAGGTCTCCATCATCTATTTCCCTCCATATAATGGCAAAAGAACAGTTAACTTATCACTGCGTTCTTCTAGTGAAGCAGAGGCCTGAAGTTGTTCTTACCTAAAAAAAGTTGTGTTGATTGTCGTTTTCTTTTCTTTTCAGCAAACCTATCGAGCCAGATCGCCTGTTTGACTGTCTACCCAAGTCTCTGCGGCCAACAAAAGGTGATCACGAGGCCGATGGAGGCGGCCGTTCTGATCATCCATCCAAAGGCTTGGAGACTGCCGTATACAGGACCCCAACACTAATTCCTCCCAGAATATTGCCTCTCATGAATGACATAGCTCAACAGTTGGTTCAGGCTGGAAATCAGCAAACTTGCTACAAAATCTACAGGTAGGCTTTGGTTGTCTTTATTATTGTTTTACATTTATTCTGAGCTCGTTTCTTCTCGATGGTACTTTCTGTCCTTGAATAGGGATTTTAACACTTGATTCTTTTTAATAATTCAATCTATTTCCCCCCTTTTCCTTCAGAGATTCCCGTGCTTCAGCACTAGAAGTGAGCCTTCGGAAGTTAGGAGTGGAAAAGCTTACCAAAGATGATGTGCAAAAAATGCAATGGGAGGCTTTGGAGGCTAAAATTGGAAACTGGATACACTTTATGCGAATTGCGGTGAGGATCCTTCTTAAAATGTACTCATGTTATGTATGTCCATTTCAGCATCAAGTTAACAATGTTATGCTTTTCAAACAGGTCAAATTATTACTAGTAGGGGAAAGAAAAATCTGTGATCAGATTTTGATGGTGTCAACTTTAACAAGGGCCATTGTTTTGCTGAACTGACAGCAAATAGTGTTATAACTCTTTTCAGCTTTGGAGATGCTGTTGCTAAAAGCAAAAGGTCCCTGAAAAGCTGTTTGTGTTGCTCGACATGTATGAAGTAATGCGTGAACTTCAACCAGAGGTATTCTGGAAGTACCTCATAGAGGCCACTACCCAAATTTTACATACTTTTCTATGTTGCTGTGATTCTAAACTATTTGATATTGATGATGATTACAAAGATGCCAATACTACCTTTGCTTGATCCCTTGTTTTTATCAGATTGAGGAAATATTTGAAGGCAAACCTTGCACTGAGATGCGTGAAGCTGCATCAAGCTTAACAAAGCGATTGGCACAGACTGCTCAGGAAACATTTTCAGATTTTGAGGAGGCAGTTGAAAAAGATGCTTCAAAAACTATTGTTCATGACGGAACAGTCCATCCTTTGACTAGCTATGTGATTAATTATGTTAAATTCCTATTCGAGTAAGTATTCCCTTTCTCATATTGGTTGTGAATCTATGGACATGTAAAATTGTTGATCACATAAGTTTGACTAACCCACTGTTAATAACACTATTTTAACTGTGGCTTATGGGGCTTTATGCTTCTGATCTTCTCAAGACCATAGTTTTTGATGAAGTAGAAAGGATTTCCAAGTGCTAATATTAACAGGCTGGTTCTTTTAGGAAACAAAATTGTACCACAATACTGAATAAGATTTTGAACAAATTTGAATCAGGGAAGTTCAGCCTATAGGCTGTAATACCTATACAAAGCTATTTATAACATCTTTTGATCTTGCTTTTCTTAACAAACTTGGGCACTTTCTAGATTCTAGAATTTATCTGGTTATGAATTAGTTGTCTTTTTCATTTACTCATGAAGCAATGTCGCATTTGTTTATTCTTTTCCTGTTGTTGTTTCTGAAATTTCATGCATAACAAATGTTACTCTGATTTGAACAGTTACCAGTCAACATTGAAGCTATTATTTCAGGAATTTGATAGTGGCACTGAGGCAGAATCTCAGCTTGCTGCTGTTACCACAAGGATAATGCAGGCCCTACAGAATAACCTAGATGGAAAATCTAAACAGTATAAGGATCCTGCATTGACATACTTATTTCTTATGAACAATATCCACTATATCGTTAGATCTGTTCGCAGGTATGTCTGTGTTTATTACAAGACCTGTTTCGTATTATGTTATGATAGCCTGTTCATTTAATGATCTCTTGTGTTGCCTCAGATCAGAAGCAAAAGATATACTTGGTGATGACTGGATTCAGAGACATCGCAGGATTGTTCAGCAAAATGCCAATCAGTATAAACGCGTTGCTTGGGCAAAGGTTAGTGGATCGGCAAAATCTTTAAGGATCGTGCATGACATATTGCTTTTTTGTTTGGCTGCATGATGTTAGATGTGCAATCCCCTTTTGGCCCTTTAGGGAATGTATCTTTTTTGTCTTGATCAGACTGCTGTTTAATCAATATTCTTTAGTGGCTATCACTCTGTGAATACAGCATGGATGTATACCTGTTCAATCTATCATAAATCATAACGAGGGTACAATATCGCTCCTTATACATGATACATTTGCTGCAGTTAGAATTTTTTGTGAAGTTAGGCTGAGCTTACAAAGTAGATCTCTATTAAGTATGGTCTGACCCTTCAATTCATCAGAAATTGTAATGTCCGAAAGTCCCTCTTGTACATCCACTATTAAGTAACTTTATGCACACACATGCCATTTTATATTTAGTAAAGCAAAATGTGTGGCAATGCTCAGCTGGCGTGGACTTAATGTTTGTAGGCGTTTTTAGAGTTTTCCTCTACCTGGCAAGGCATTCTTTAATGTCCATTGGAGTTTTGGATACATCAGTTAGCATGTTTGTTATGTATTAATGTATTATTGCATTATTGTACACAGTTACATATAGAATTGCACTTGATTGTGGCTGCTCTGCTTCTGTTATTTTAGATTCTTCAGACACTTTCTGTTCAAGGCGCGGGCAGCAGCGGTGACCTGACCAGCAGTGGTGTTTCAAGAGCCACGATCAAAGAACGGCGAGTGCTTGGAGGCAAAACGTTTTTAACTGTCTTACACAACAACAGAAATCATTAACCCTCCAATGTCTTTTACCTTGTCAGGTTTAAGTCTTTCAATACGCAATTCGAAGAGCTTCATGCGAAGCAATCGCAATGGATCGTACCTGATCAAGAGCTGCGAGAATCCTTGAGGCTTGCTGTAGCCGAAGTCCTGTTGCCAGCCTATCGATCTTTTATCAAACGCTTTGGGTACATCATCAAACAATTTCATTAGTCGGCTGCTAAGACAGTAGTTTTCCTGTTCTTTTACTAGAACATGGAATGCCTTCTATTGCCAGTAATTTGCTACATCCCGCAACTAGCAGTGCTAGTAAGATGTGACTGTAGTATCCTTGTGACTTTGCAGCAATCTTGTGGAGAACAACAAGAACCCGCAGAAGTACGTTCGGTACAGCCCGGAAGCGGTGGACCAACTTCTCGGCCAGTTCTTCGAAGGGCAGCAATGGGCGGAGCAAAAGCGCTGAGCAACAGTGAGTGAGAGAGACGGCATGAGTACAGCCAGATGCAAGTAAGTTCAACAGCACAGATTTCTTTCGAAGCAACCACCGGTCTTTCTCTCACTGCATATATATAATATAGATATATATGCGGAGCCCTACCAAATTTTCTTTTCTCAGAAAAAGCACGCCAAAGTTTCTTTTCTCTCCATTTGGGTGGCTGACACGGAAAGCTAACGGCGAAAAAGTGTTGGTGGCATTTTCTTGATGGAGGTTCCTCAAGTTAACTATACCGTGTTGTTGACCTAAAAAGTCAAAAGAAATGAAACCTTTTTTTTAGGAAAAGAAATGAAACCTACGTTGTGGCCTTGTGGGTTCACAATCAGCAGTTCCAAAACTAACCTTTTTTTGTTGGTGCTGTAGAGTATGTTTTCATGAGTATAGAACCCTATGTTGCAATGAAACTGTTCCCTAAGAAAGACAAATGATGATGATAGTGGCAATTGAAGCGATGCCATGAAACTAAATTTTCAGCGGCAGTTATGACGAGGGAAAAAGAGGTGGTAGCGTTTTCCTCTTCTTTTCTTGCAAATTGCGATCCTACTCGAAGGAATAATGAAGGAAGCAAACGTCTTTGTTGTTTGGTATATATACTTTCTATGTAGGAGTAGATAGCAAGTGACGGATCGGGCAAAGGACGTTGCTAAGCTTAACACGATTTGCTGTTAGCGCCACTACGACGCCATGGTTTCACTGGAATAACGTAAAGATGGTCCCGAAACTTGCTGGTCTGCATCTTTCGGTGTCGTCGTTTTATATAAAAGGGGAAATCTCATTCTCATTTTACCTTTTTGATGATATAAAAATAATCCCACGAATCCGTCTTTCTTGTGCCAATAATTGAAAAGGAAATCAAAAAATTCCTCTTGTGATTTGTGACTCTTGTCATTCACCGCCACGCCTGCAGAGAGCTCGATCTGGCCGCCTCGCGTTTGGCCTCCATTTCAGCTGCTTATCAATGGAACCCTGTGTGTACCAAATTCTAAGACTTTCTGGAACTTTAAGTCAGGTTAAGAAAAACTACTAAATGTCCATGTCCGCCCCTTGCTTTTTTTCGAGAATGTGCATAGCACGTGTTTCATTAAGAAGAAGTTGGAAGGTTTACACGCCTAACATCACAACACGGTGAGGTGCCATGAGCGAAGAGGTTGAACACGAACACAAGGCACCGCTGAGCGGTGGAGCACGCATTGTTGTAACTAACTAAGAGCTAGCAGCGCTGAAGGAACCCGTGCTCAAGACGCCTGCGTCGCCAACCGCCTCATGCGAGCACCATGCATGGGGAAGAATTCCCGCATTGCGGCGCGCTTGGATGAAGACAGCAGGTCCTCGAACGTGTCGTGGAAACGAGTGGCGATGGAGGCGTCCGGTGTCACTAGCGATGGTCGTGGAGCATTGGTTGAGGGCTGCCACTTGTTCAGCAGGACCCGCTTGGTCTGCTTCTCCGGGTTGGGGTCGCGGTAGACAGACTTCGCCGCAAGCCTGTCACTGCGACGCGGGACGAGGTTCTCCACCAAAACGCTTGAGACACGGAGGCGCAGCGGCGATTGGATGAGAGGCTATTCAAGCGGCAGCCTGAGTCCGACGATGAACTCCTAGACGGTGACGGGCTGCACTGTAGACGAACCGACAATAGCGGGCGACATGCGGACTTGGGCGTCAGCATGGGTCGCCGGCGCTGGGCTATCCCCAACTGGCTAAGAATCTTGCACTCCATGGGCTTGGTTGTCTAAAGCGTAGCCCGTAATGTGGTCCAGCTCCCACTGCAGCGGCCTACTCTGTGTCAGCCCATGGCCAGGTTCTGTGCCCAACTGGACCATGGTGGGGTTCACCGGAAGGTCGTTGGACTGGGGGCACGGCGTATCTCCGGCGGCGGCCATAGGAACCCCGCAAACGACGGGCGGAGTGGCGGGCCATGCCGTGATGTCATGGTCTTCAGCCACCAGATGGGCTGCCCACGACGTCTGCGGATGGCCACGCGTCATTTTCGGTTTCGCGCTGGAAAGATCCAAGTAGGACACCGGGTTTGGTGACGCGCCCTTGTCACACAAGGCACCTGGCTGGTCGACGAAGCAGAGCATTGGATCCAGCCTGAATGGCGCGATCTTCGTAGGCTTTGGGATTTAAATTTCGAAATCATGGAATCCCTCCGTCAACTGGTTGCTGGAAGAAGTCGCTAGACCTGACATCAGCAGCTGACGATCCCTGCACCTTAGCATTCGGGGCCCAAATGATCGCGGACCGACGATTGGAAGCAACGGGCAGGGAATCTCGCCCACAACGACACGCGGTGCCTGCTGGAACGTTGGGCCCCACCTGGGCCCTAGCTGAGAATCGCCACCCTCGTCGGAGTCCTGGCTAGCGCCACCGCCGAAACCAAGGTTGCCTCGAGCAGCACGACGCTGACCGTGCCTTGGAGGCTCTCGTACCCGGTTCGAGGAGAGGCACTGGGGCGAGCGACCATGCTTGCAGTTCCTCGCTCGGTGCATCATGCTGAGGTAGAAAAGGCAGCGGGATGGAAAGGTGCACCGGGCGACGATGTGGTCCCCAGCCAGACAGCTGAAGTAGAGACCGACGAGCGAAGGCAGCACCGACAGCTGGTGACGACGTTGAGGCGGGGAATGGCGGTGCCCGTGCCGATGGCTTTGAACAAGCATGAAGCCATCGACGTCGACAGGCACGGCCGCTCGAGGGACGTGGCGTCGAGGAAGCGCGTTAGGAGGATGGATGTGCGGTGACGTCGAAGGTCGCCTGGCGTTCGACATGAACCCAGGGCCTGGCTCACGACAACGATGATGGCGGCCACCAGACGCCGACGGCCTATGCTGCGGGCCAAGGTGCTGGTGCACCGGCACACGCATGACCGGCCGTGGGCCGAGCCGCTGGTGCGTGAGCACCCTAGCGGCTTGGCGAGGGGACACCACTGGAAGACCATCGGTGTCCCTGGTCTTGGCACGACGACGACAACATTGCCCCTTCTTGGTGATGACGACCGGACGCGAGGCAGAGCTCTCCCCCTCGCACGGCGCTGCAGGCACGGGCGAGGCCGTCACCTCGAAGGCTCGACGAGTGGCTCCCAGGTACGACGACTGGGCAGCAGAGGACGTGCAGACGAAATCGGAGTCGCCGGAGTCTTCCATCCACCGGAGAGCCTTAGATCTCCCAGCAGACTGCTTCGCTGGGAAGAAGGGTGTGATTTGCTGGGAAGAAGGGTGTGGCAAGAGGCGACTGGGAGGAGTTCCTACCCATGGAGACCGCACCCATCTCGACACCGGCGTCCGCACAGAGGGAGATGCTCGTGGCTACGGGACCCGGCATCTACGGCGCCGGCAACGGGGAGGAAGCCCGCGCAGCCGTCGTTGGAGCCGCTTTGTCGCCATCGTCTTCATCCTCGTCCTCATATTCCAAGACGTCCTCGACAATGACCTCCTCCAGTAGATGTGTCTCCGTCTTGGGCGCGGCCTCCTCGTAGTGGTCGAGGCGTGCCGTGACTGAGGAGGGCACATGCGCCGGTGGTGGTGGCGGGGCAGGTGAGGGCGTCGCCGGCAGGCGAGCTCCAGGCCCGATCTTGGCGCCCGACGGGGTCATCCCACCCACCGTGCCTAGGTCCTGCGGCGGCTTGTCGCCAGGACGCGACGTCGTCCCCCCACCAACGCAGATCTCGGCTCTAGGGCCGCGCTGCCGGAGCAGCAGCCTTCGCTATGTGGAGGGGCCTACGAGGGGAGGTGGGAGAGGTAGGGGAGGGAGGAGGAGAGGTGGTGGGGGGGGGGGCCAGCGCCCTGGGTGAGGGAGGCGATCGGCGCGCCATTGGGCGGCGGCGGTGGTGACACGCTTGAGGCTAGGGGTTGGGGAAAGAGGATGCTCACGACTAGCGCAAAATCTATCTCAAGTCCCTTGCTAAATTTAAAATTTTGAATGCAATCGCTTCCTAATATGTTTTTTTGTTACGTATTATGAGTATTGTACCACTGTATATGATAATGGAAACGCTCGATGTCCGAACGGATGGACCTCGCACTCACCCACGTCGTCTTTTGCCTGCGTTGCCTGCTTGCTCTGCTCGTGGGACGAACCCGTCCTCGCCCGCGCTGCCACTGCTGAAAGGTTCTAACATGGCTAGAGGGGAGGTGAATAGCCTATTTAAAAATCTACAAACCATTTAATTAGTATAACAAATAGCGAAATGCAAACTTGCTCTAGCTCTACAAGGGTTGCAAGCCACCTATCCAATAATTCTAGTTACTATGATCACTAGACACACAATTTGCTAAGTCACTACTCACTAAGAGCTCTCACACTTGCTACACTAAAGAGCTCCACTAGATGAACTTAAACTACAATGCAAGCTCTCAATTCTAAGTACACTAAAGAGCTTGCTACAACTAGTTTGCGAGAACATAAATGAGTGAGTAGGGTGATTATACCGCTGTGTAGAGGAGTGAACCAATCACAAGATGAATACTAAATCAATCACCAGGAGAATACCAAAGGGCAAGAGACAACCAATTTTCTCTCGAGGTTCACGTGCTTGCCAACACGCTACGTCCCCGTTGTGTCGACCAACACTTGGTGGTTCGACGACTAAGAGGTGTTGCACGAACCTCGTCCACACAATTGGACACCGCAAGAACCTACACACAAGTGAGAACTCAATGACACGAGCAATCCACTAGGGTTACCTTTCGGCACTCCGTCGGGGAAGGTACAAGTCCCCTCACAATCACCGGAGATGGCCACGAACAATCACCAACTCATGCCAATCCTCCTCAGCTACACCAAGCCGTCTAGGTGGTGGCAACCACCAAGAGCAACAAGCGAATCCCGCAGTGAAACATAAACACCAAGTGCCTCTAGATGCAATCACTCAAGCAACGCACTTGGATTCTCTCGCAATCTCACAAAGATGATGAATCAATGATGGAGATGAGTGGGAGGGCTTTGGCTAAGCTTAAAAGGTTGCTATGTCAATGCAAATGGCTAAGAAGGCGAGCTTGAGCCGGCCATAGGGCTTAAATAGAAGCACCCACAAAATAGAGCCGTTGGCTCCTTAGTCCACTAGAAATCAAGGCGACCGGACGCGCTGGTCAGATCGACCGGACACTAGACCTCAGCGTCCGGGCGCGCGATGCACGCCACGTGGCCCCTGCTTCAAACGTTGATCGCCCGATCTCAACGGTCATTAGTACATTTAAGTTGTGACCGGACGCGCTGCTTCGAAGTGACCGGACGCACCAACACCAGCGTCTAGTCGTTTCCAATAAGGTTCCCCTCGCGACCAGACGCGTCCGGTCACCACTGACTGGACTCGCCCATCGTCCGATCACTCACTGTCTCCTTTGTGCGTCGCCACATCAGCGCGACCGGACGCTGAACAGTGTTCAGCCAACGTCCGGTCGCCAATGTCCGGTCAAGAGGCCAAGGGTGGCCTTCATTGCGCCACTGATCGGACGCAGGACCCCAGCTTCCGGTCACTGCGTGACCAGCGTCCGGTCACTCTGTGAAACCCTGTCTTTTTTGTACAGGGCGCCGGTGAAGTTTCTTACCATTGCTCCCAAGTGCTAAACACAATGTGTATCACCTTTGTGCATGTGTGTTAGCATATTTTCATAAATATTTTCAAGGGTGTTAGCGCTCCAATAGATCCTAAATGCATATGCAATGAGTTAGAGCATCTAGTGACACTTTGATAACCGCATTTCGATACGAGTTTCACCCCTCTTAATAGTACGGCTATCGATCATAAATGTGATCACACTCATTAAGTGTCTCGATCACTAGAACGAAAAGCTCCTATCAAGTTTCACCTTTGCCTTGAGCTTTTTGTTTTTCTTTCTCCTTTTTCCAAGTTCAAGCATTTGATCATCACCATGCCATCACCATCATCATGTCATGATCACCATTGCTTCACCACTTGGTGTAGTGCTACCTATCTCATAATCACTTTGATAAACTAGGTTAGCACTTAGGGTTTCATCAATTCACCAAAACCAAACTAGAGCTTTCAACTGCTCGCGCCCCTACCGCCCGACTGCGTCACGCATGGTGACCCCGACACACTAGGTGCTCGCTAGCTCAGTCCCGGACTCACGCCTCCCATCGCGGTTGTGCTCCATCCGCCTGCCCCTGCCCCAGTTGAGGTTCGTGTCGCTGACGAGCTCCACACCAATGACCTCCGCATCACTCCGCGTCTTCGAGCTCTGTGGCGGCGTCGAGCTTCGCGTTGACAAGCCTATATTCGTCCAAGCAGCAAGCAGATGCTACGCTAAAAACGCACGTTGCAATATTATGTTTCATGTGTTTCAGGTGCTTCCGAGGCATGTTGTAAGTGTTGTATATCGATGTTGCAAAAGTAGATCGGGATGTTGCACATGTTGTAATAGCTATACACGTATGTTTCAAGTGTATGTTCCAAATGTTTCATCTGTTCCAGACAAATGTTGTAAGTGTTTTGTCTGGATGTTGCAAAAGTAGATCTAGATGTTGCATATACATGCACGTTGCAAGCATATGTTTCAAGTGTTTTTAGGTGTTTCATACGTATGTTTGCAAGTGTTTTATTTGGATGTTGCATATGTTTGCAATGGTTTTCAAATGTTTTTTCAGGCGTTTTCACAAGTGTTTCAGACGCTTGTTTCAAGTGTTTCATCTGTCTTCTTTTGTATGTTGTAACTGTTGCATCTGGATATTTCAAAAGTAGATCAGGTGTTGCACATGGGATGTGCGTGGGAAGCGGCCGACAGCGCGGACGACGTCCAGGGCGGCGCAGGACCACTACGGGTGTGCTCCCTCGCGAGCTCGAACACGTTAGGCGCTTGTTCGCTCGTTGTGCGGGTAGCGTCTGGACGCTAGCATCCGGATCGGACATCCAGGGACTAGCAAGTCCGATATGATAACGCTATGCGCGAGCGACGATGGACCTTCATTTTCGCTGCCAAACCTCGTGAACTTAACGCAAAACTTAACTTCTTGTAAAACCTTAATGTGCGGTGTCGTAATTGTCTGTGGCGTGCAACATGGTTGTGAACTATCCTTTGCATAGCGGTGGATTAGTAGAGTGGGGTGTGCATGACACATTCTCGAAGGCTGCAGTTTTGTCCCGCTCAAATAGAATAAGTTCAACGCATAATAATTCAGTTATCTCTAAATTGCTCATATCTTGGCTCGTGCTCACAATCGTTGTCGTACAGCAAACAGGGAAATGAGAAAAATAATGGAAACAACAAAGAAAAACTAAGGTAGGGGCGGGATGACGATGACTTCATCCAGTGTTTGGTTCAGGGATGTCAGGGACTGACAATATATTCCCTAACAGAAATATTCCTCAAAATGCTGGGATACCTCCGTCCCTAGAAATCGGTGGAACGGGCAAGGAATGAGGTGCTGACCATGGACATGTGGGCATGTTTCATCCTTCTCATCCGCGTCACTTCAACCAAACACAAAACATGATCATCTTGTTCTCCTCAACATTGAACCATTCCGTCCTCAAAAATGAAATGGGTCCATTCTGTCCCACTATATTCCTAGACCAAATGAAACCTAATATTTATCAACAAACCAATTTGGTTTCATATCCGTAAGATCAACCATAGAAGTAATCTTCTTAATAAGACAGGTTATGGAGCGGTTTAGAGAGCAGCAGAAGGACCTCCACTTGGTTTTCATTGACTTGGAGAAGGCTTATGACAAGATACCAAGAAATGTTATGTGGTGATCTTTGGACAAACATAAAGTCCCATCAAAGTACGTGACCCTCATCAAGAACATGTACAACAGTGTTGCGACTAGTGTTCGAACAAACGATGGTAACACATATTACTTCCCGATTAAAATTGGACTTCATCAAGGGTCAGCCTTAAGCCCGTATCTCTTTGTCTTGGTAATGGATGAGGTTACTAGGAACATACAAGGGGATATCCCTTGGTGTATGTTGTTCGTTGATGATGTAGTATTAGTGGATGAAAGCTAGGCAGGAGTAAATAGGAAACTAGAGTTATGACAGTAGACCCTTGAGTCTAAAGGTTTTAAATTGAGCAGAACTAAATCCGAATACATGAGATGCGACTTTGACGGAGTTATACATGAGGAGGGAGATGTGAGTTTGGAAGGTCAAGTAGTGCCTAAGAAGGATACCTTTCGGTATCTGGGATCGATGCGGAAATTAGCCATAGAATCAAAGCAGGGTGGATCAAGTGACGATAAACTTCTGGCATTCTCTGTGACAAGAGGGTACCACAAAAGCTAAAAGGCAAGTTCTATAGACCGGCTATATTGTATGTAGCAGAATGTTGGTCTACAAAGATTCGACATGTTTAACAACTGAGTGTTGCAGAAATGGGTATATTATGATGGATTTGCAGTCACACAAAAATGGACCGAGTTCGGAACGATGATATACGTGATTGTCTAGAGGTAGCACCAATTGAAGAAAAATTTATCCAACATCGGTTGAGTTGTTTTGGTCATGTCCAAAGGAGACATCCAGAGACACCAGTGCATTGTGGAGTCCTAAGCCAAGCTAATAATATGAGAAGAGGTAGAGGAAGACCGAAATTGATATGGGGAGGCAATAAAAAGATATTTGAAAG